CGACCCATTAAGTTAATCAGTTTCATAACTTCTCCCTAAGGAGCAAGTAAGCTCAAACAAGCACCTCAGACATCTACCCAAACTTTCCACCTGATGTTTTCCAAGCTCAAGTCTCCCCCAGAGGGATATAATTTACAAAGTGCTTCATTACACATGCTATTCAAACAATCCAAAACCTACACAGAAAACTGCAGTCAGCCCTGCCAGAAGTCAAATATGCAGAGCTCCAGCGCATCAAAAAGCTCTTCCAAGTTTTCCAGTTCACCTCTTGAGCTAGCTGACGTGTTTCCTAGGAGTTTATCATTCTCTTCCTAAGCTTCAGCAAATTAACCCAAGGCAGAATGAGCATAGACTGTTTTGATTAAAGACTTTTCTACCAGTGGAGCGCTTTCCTATTAGAAACGAGCAGGCATACATGGCTGATTCATTGCTAAACTTCCACAAGGTAAGGGAATCCTCCCTTTGCTAAGGGGGAGGATCAGATCTATTAAATGTTGTTTATATTCACAGGATGGCAGAGAGAAGCCTTTTTACTGCTATTAAGAGTGGCTCCCTAATAGTCCATGCTCCTCTATTAAAGAGGAAATGCCAGAGAAGTCACCAGGCTTGCTGTGGTGGGTGCGTGGAACACACACGCAGCAAATAAATGCAACAGACACAAAATCCTTTATTTGGCCTTCCTTTCTCATGCTGAAAAAAACAGCATGAAGCTCCAGCACATTAGTGACCGAAACAACAGCATTTTCCTCGCTTTTACTGACATTTCCAGCCAGATGAGAAGCCAGTGAGTGTAGAAGAAAGGACAGCAGCTTGCTAGCCTGAATTACACTCTTCCCCCCAGGCTAGCAGGAGTCACAAGCAGCACACCAGCTTGCCCAACCCCTGGGAAGGTCTTTAAATCCATTCCTCCCACCAAGCCAAGCCACACCAGTACAGGCACGAAGGACTGGGAGCTTCTCTGCACCGGCAGCTCGGCTGACACCACTTTCCCAGCCTCTGCACCTGTCAGCTCTTACTATTTCAAAGTGAAAAGCAGGCTGGTCAACTCGAGTCTTCTTGCCGCAGGGGAAACTAGCTAGGGCTTACCGGTGCCTGGAATATATTTTTATATATATTTACATATTTCAAAAAGTATATTTTATTAAAGCTCTTATGTTAAAACTTGGTTATATAACCTTGTTTATTGGCTTATCTCAAAAAAAGCAAAAGTAAGATCAAGCGTTAATAGGACATCTGGCTGGTTTTATCAGCTTAGTTTCAGCCAAGAGGACCACCAGGAGAGCTCTCAACCACGAAGTGATGGCCAGCTAATGCCAAGAGTCTTTCAGACCATACAAACATGCTTCAAACTGCACTGACCAAACAGGTTCTTCATCGACCTGAAGGGTCCATCTATCACTCTGAATCAGTACAGTTCAATAGCTTTCACCTGCTTCCCAGCGTGTGGCTTTGACAGAAAGAGCCGACACAGCTGAGGAAGCACCACCAGCATCCCAAACGCAGCCAGTTCACGTACTCCATGCAGCAGTTATGGTATTATGGCTAGTGCCTGCATACATTTGCAAAAGGACCATCTGAAGACCAGCTTCCTTCATAACTGTCATCGGAACTTGCTTGTTTTGATGCTCCACGCAGTCATCTGCAAGAACTGCATCTGTCTGGTGCTTGCCGAGTAGCAAATTAAAAACAGTAGCTACTGTTTCTTATTGATGCAGAGGCTGGAAACCTTCAGAATTCTTGAGTAAAAGCAGGGTATTTACCTGAGCAAAGCGAGACCATGAAGATTAACCTTGCTGAATGCACCAAATACACCAGCAGCAGAGCAAAAAATGGTTTTGAATAAATGCATTTGTGTGGCACAGGGCTACCATACGAATGAGAAGTCAGTAAGTCTCAGATAT